TATTCTCCCGACCTAGCCATTCACATATGCTCCTCACAGCTGTAGACTTTCCCCGTCAGATTGGAGGGGGATCGGGGGATTTTCTGAGGCAAGACATGACGTAAATAAACAACGCGGAAGTAGCGGCTGAAGCAACAGAGTCCGCTACACGACGTCATAATGAGAATATTTGCCTTTATATCAATGCTATGTGTAATCCAATGGAATGACAACATCCACAAAAAGAGAGGAGAACAACATACTGACAAACAGAAAACAGAATGCAGCTGTTTAATTACGTGCACGGAGATCGTAGAGGTCGCGTGCAGACACTTTAGGCAGTCACTGTATATAAACGTCATTCTCTTTCTATTGGCTCGAGATGAATTCTCTGCAGTATATGCTGCCGCGTGAAAAATATATAGCCTGAAGCATATACCCTACCGGTAACCTAATCTCCGGAGTTTTTCAGGAGATGTGTGAAAAGGGTATAATATAGGGATCTATATTAGGCTAATGTTTAGAGTCACTAAGGTCAGTTGCACCTTTAGTCTATTGAGAACATCTTAAATCTTAAATATAGCTATATTAACTCTGTACAGTAACTCTTGCTCTCTTTATTCTACTGACTGTGGGACAAGTTTGCCATCCTTAGCAAGTGTTACAGCCTTCAATTATCAGCCAGAATTTCCTGTATCAGCCATCCAATGAACAACATGCACAAGTATAACTCACCCTACAATTACAACACTCAACACTATTCCATCACAAAGTTATTTTACATGAAAACGTACTCCAATTACCCAATTGAATGCCAATGTAGTGCTTTGAATAAGGAAGCTGATAAGAAGATGAAAACTACTTATTTCCAAAAGTAATTTAAAATATGTTATAAATTTAATTAATTATTCAGTAAAGTGTGTTGTTTTCAGGAAGATATTTAGATATTAAAGCAATTCCCTAAGCATCAGATAAACAGCTGCCTACAGCGACTGCAAGTCTTTTAATTTCAGAGATTTGGGGCAATGGTTACACTGATTTCTGGCAAGACTAGGTGCAGATAATTTGCTTAGCTTGCTGCCAGCTGGCGTCTTTCCATTGCTTACCAACCTTTGACGGACGATGTTGATTCATGCAGGCTTTCAGCATTTCAACACCATCAACAACATCAGTTTTCTTTCCCCTGTCTAACAGATCCAATACATACTGTGGCCACTGTTAAGAGCAGAAATGTACTATTTGATGCATTTCAAAACAACAGCCCTGCCTTGAGATGTACTTTTACAAAGTTCATTATGTTCAGTATTTTTGTAGAGCTGTTTAAATCCATTGTCTGTTTCTTGAAGTGCTCATAGTTAGTGATGGTGATGTACTGGACTACATCATACTTTGAGTTGTCGCTATATTCTGAACCTGTACATGGACATTATACTATAGTCACTGTCACAGTAACATTACCACTTTAACAATGATCGAAACAGATATTTGAATTCTTACATTTAGATAACACAAAAAACATTGCCATCATACAAAGTACATGCTTATTACATTGGACAATGGAGTTGTCAATTTCAACTTCAAAAAATGATACCAATGACAAAGTTGGCAACAACTTATTGTGACCTCTCTGGAACTCTGTTTTCCGGGACATTAAATCCATCACCCAACATACTTCAAGTGTGAGAGTCGTCAACATGTTGTTGGTGATTTTAAAGCCATTTTATAAGAACCACAGAATTGTGGGATATTTGCACATTGTGCTACATTTTCCCACAATTCCAATGCTGTATACTGTCACTCAACTTATTTCAGTAGTCGACTAGACACTTGACACAAAAAAAAAACGTCCAACTTCCTACATCTCATCTAATTAGTATCATATTACTTGTTTCATTACACTTACATTACATGTTCCACTAAGATGGACCTTTTGAGAAGCCACCGGTATTAATAGAAAACAACAAGCATACAGGTCAGACTAGATGTATGTGGGTTTGACAAGCCACACTAGACATTACCACAGTAAGTACTCATCACATGAATAGGTACCAGTACAATAGGTGACTTTAAAACATAGACAACTAAATATTTAACAAGTAAAAATGTTTGGTAGAGCAGGAGGAACCGGGTGCAATTAGTGTCTACGAAATTAGAACAGGCTTCCAATATGACACCATAAAGTGACACCCATAGCCTCTATTTCAATCATTTCCTCATCACTTGACCTATTTTACAGACACATTAGAATCAGCCTCGTTTTAGTAACAAATGATCCACATCCACCATTATATCTGTTTTTTGTCAGTGTAAGTGTCAGTTCCAAATGACATTGAAGACAAAAAGTTCCATCCCATCTGGATGATAAACTATTTAAAAGGGGATATTATTTAATCCAGCAATTGTAACATAATTATCAGATGCTAAATGAGTTCAATACTAAAATAGAAATAAGTTTACAGGAAGGATAGATAAGCATAAGATACATCTGGCAGCACAACTTACTCAACTTTGTCCTCTGTCCTTGACGCACCAAGTAAATAGAATGACTGTTTCCAAACCTCTGTTTGATTGCGCGACTCACAATGACTTTAAGTACAGGCGCCTGTGACCTCCTCTGGGTGCTCAACCACTCAGTTTCTTTCACGTCAGTGTGAAAACCACACACCATGGGATTATAGCTACCCAATGACATTACTGTTCTAGGAGACAAAGGAGAGGCTGAGTGTAGCGCTGTGAGTGGTCTTTAGTGGTAGCACAGTTAATGGTACCATATGTCCGACTGTGATAACAGAGGTTGTAATAGAAGAAAACTATACCTAATTATAATGAGCCAAGTATCATTAAACCCAAAGGATAATACTAGCCTCATTACCAAAATCATCAAAACGATTTAAAAAAGGAAACAGTTCACACCTCATCAGTCTATAAGAGATTAGTCAAAACAACCCCAACACTTAACATATCTTGCATAATTCCACTTCTCAAATGGTGACAAGGATTCAATCAAAATCTTGGTGCGGCAACACTGATGACAATAACAACATGGAAATCATATCAGACATTAATAAATATTCATTTGTTTGCTGTTACTTGGACAATGACTGATTTTATCCCTACACCAACAACTTCACCCTCACAAAACGTGCAAACAACTGTTATAGGTAGCAAACTACTATTTGATTCATAGCAACCATCCAGAATAATATTAAGATGTACCACAGCACATCCTCTCTGAAACACTGAACTCTGCTTTCTATCATTTGTACCATAAAACTGAGTTAAACAAATCAAAGAGCCAATAGCCAAAGATCCACATCATTACTACAACAATATGCAGCTCTGCAGATAGTGTTTTAAATTTGTTCTGCAGTTTCGACGTGATAACTGGTCTCATATCTGGCAAACGGAGGGGCGCCCAAAATAGTTGTGTGGGGGCGTCTTTAAACTGCCTACCTTCTCTGGTCAAAACAAATACAAACCATTTTGGACGAGAATCTAAACTTAAAAGGAGAAGACATACGGACTGCTGCATTGTTGTCAGAGAAGCCAGTATTTCAAAATAGCATGTTTCCTTAATGTCTGATGATATAATACGGTCAGTTTATGATTTAATTCAGTATAGATATCTTACATGTTGTTCCTTTAACTTTTCTACAAAAGAACCTTGATATTGTCTTCTTTTTTTATTTTATTCCATGTGTTGTTATTGAAAACATAACTGTTGCACAATTTGAGCTTTGGGACCTCTGATGAAAGTCCATATTTGCTAAAAGTGAAGGTAATCAAACATGGACAAATATTGGAATGTTCCCCTTTTAAGAGTAGGAACATTATCAATCTGAGGAAGATTGTGAGCGTTAAAACCTTTAAACATGATTTTGAAAAAAAAAAACAATCTTTTCAACCCACACCTTTTCCCCCACTCTTTTGTCCATTTGAATGAATACTTTTTTTTTATCATGAGCATTGAGCAGTAAAGTATAGGTTTTCACTTTTGTTGTTTTTAACATTAAATGATTTATTTAACTACTTTTTAGATTATGTAACCATGACCAAACATATGATCACAGCAGGGTTTAAAGGGTTTAGATACAACTGCTGTTTAACAAATTATAGCGTCCGTCATCTGTGCAAATAAGCATTCTAATGGGAATGTTTACTGTAAAGGCCTTTGGAGGTTTTATGTGTTGACTTTTAGCTCAATTAGTTGCTTGCAAAATATAACAAAACGTCTCTGTCCTTTTGTTTTCCTGGTACATTTCCTTTTCTGAGCATTGTCTTCTATCTACTTCCTCACACTTTTGGCAACAGTGTCAGCATTAATGTGTCTTGTCCTAGACTTTACCCTTAATGTGTTCAGTTTTCCTGAAACAGAGACATGCATAGAGCTGTCTGTATTTGGGTTGTGTTGCTAATCTGCAGTGCGTACAATTACAGTAAGGCTCCACAACATTTTACAAGCGCTTATCCAGAGTCATGAGCAGCTCAATATTACTCCAACCTAGAAGTCAAATCACAGTGTACTGGGAGCACAAACGTCACATTTCCCCACACCTGAGACAGCTTATTTTTTTTCTACTTTGACACTAAACGTCAAAAGCCTAGTTCACATTAACAAAATTAAGCTTTCCATAAGAAAGTTCGTCACATCCTAGGACAGCATTTCACAAGGTGAAAACTGTGCAAGAGTCTTTCTTGACAAACGATCCCAACATGAGCTGTCTGTTGTAGATCTGATAACATCTGATGTCGGAGTTCAGAGCTTCAGGAATCTACGTCCAATTGCCCAGCAGCACATGCCAATTTAAATCACAGCTTTCTCAAGAGTTGGCATTTAAACAGCTTTTCGTGCTGGGCTGCAGAAAGACCCAGAGATTAACTAAAAGTAACGTAACAGATCACGAACCAAGAAAACTTCTCTCTCGGGCCTGCAAGCAACTCTTTCATGTTTCTGAGCTAAAGTTAAGAGGTTTAAACACATCAGCTGACAGGAGTATGGGTTTGCGGTCGAGTTGACTCACCTTGACAACAACACGTAGTCATTATTTGGATCTGATCTGATGAGAACTCCTCCGCTTCACGAATATGTCTGAAAGTGTACCTTGCCGTGATTAACGTAAACTTGATACCGTGGTAGGCTGACCGACCTGCCTCGTCTCACAGGTGCCTCCCCCTTTTTTCTTTCCTCTCATCCACCCCTGACAAGCATTTCCGACCGCCACTTGCACACATTTTTTTTTTTTTTTTTTTTACTACTTACTCCTACTGAGCAGCTTGGATCACGAATCACTACATAATTTTCCCAGGAACAACCATAGGAACCGGACGCGGCGCAGTCGACGTCACATCGGTGTGTGTGTGTGTGTGTGAGAGACGAGAGCTCCCCCTTCAAAACGTTACACAAACAAACTCACAGCAACCGGGCTCAAAATAAGACAGCACGCCGTCCTATCCTGTCCTGTGTCGGAAGCCAAAAACAAGGCAAACTCGCCGACCACGCAACCCAAACAAGTAAAAAAATACGAGCTAGAGCAGACGGGAAACTTACAATCGGCTCAACTTACCAGCTTCCGCTTACATCCTGCTCGACCCGGCTTGTTGTTGTCTCTCACCGTGGCGTTAAAACCGACGACTGTACGGTGTAGCGACTGAAAATTTGATAATTGAGAATTGCTGGTTATAAATAGTCATGATACTCCTCTGGTGTGCCGCTGAGTGGTCCGTACAAGCCCCAGGAAATACGTCACGGACGTGGACAGAGTGGGGCCGTTAGAGCAACATCTACCAGTGGCCGGTCGCGCTGCTACACCGCCACCATCTGGCCACAGGCTGTACTGCACCCACATGTTGAAAAAGGCTGTGGAGATAGGGAGACGCCAAACAAGATGTTTGGTTTTATAACTAAGATAACAGTTTACCATTATCACGTTTGTCTATTTATATAGTTTGTTCTATTAAATTATGTATTATCATATTTATTGAGTATGCTAAGGGATTTTGTGTATTCTTAATTAAGGTATTTTTTTTATCTATCAAGTAATTTGTAGTGTAAATTAATTTGGCTGCTGCCAAGTTATTTTAATTGTCAATCTGTCCATATATAGCCTGATATAATAGAAAGGTTTTCTGTGTTTTATAAATTTCCTTTTAATTAATTTTAACCCAATTTGTTTTACTTTATTTTATTTTGAAAAATAAAGCAAGGTGGCTTACAGTGGCCTTTGTTATGTCCATGCCACATACTCTATCTCTCATCTGATTTTCTATTGAGTCTTTATTGGATTTGTCTAAAAAGGGCAAACAATATTTATAAAATACATTTTGAAACACAACATAATACCTGCTTAAGTGGCAAAACTATTATTGTCATTGACTCTAATTTCCACACATTATCAGATGAATATGGTTGTTGTCCAGTTTAGTAAAAAGCCAACATGCAGGATCAGGAAGGATTAGTAAATTTCCCAAAATTACAAATAAATCAGACAAGTCATTATTTTGTTCTACTTTTTTACCTCTTGCTACTACTATAATTTTTATGTCATTAAATACAGAAATCATATTCATTTATAGTTGAACCTTTCGTTGTAGAATTTTTAAAGAAGCTTAAATAATAAATACATTTAGTCCAAATAAAGAAGGGAATTGAAAATAGCAACTTCATGGAGGTCAGATGGAGTGATTGTAGGTGGAAGTTTTTCATATATGTGAAAAAGATTATTTTACTTTTATAGATTCAAAGTCTGTTCAAGGGAAGAACTCAAGGCGTTTGACTTCATGTATTTAATAACACATCCTGTAAAACCCTTTTTCCTCGGTACAATTATTTTCAACTGTTGTATGATTTTCTTTTGTTTCCATCAAATGAATACAATACATTGAATAGTAACTGCATACATTTTTATATATTGACGAGCTGAGGGCTCACATTTAAGTGAAACACATCCTGCAGGGAAAAACAAGAGCAATGTAAATGAAAGGAACAACACAGAAAGATATTTGAACAGTCCAAAATATTTATTTAAAGTACAAATGCGCTGATACCAAAGGACGTCAAGCAGCAAATTCAATTATTTCCAACGTTTTAAATTAGCTGCCATAATAAGAGACACAGCGGCAGTGAGTGTAAAGAGAAGCTGTATGTGTTCAGTTCTGCCGGAGCTGAATTTCGTCCTGCAGGAGAAAACAAAAAAAGCATTTATTATTCCGGTATAAACACAACATAAAATCTAATTGGAAACAAGTGTAACCATAATACAAATATATGCACTCCCAAACACTCCCTTAGTTAATTAACTGCGACAGACTCCCAGTGAAAAGCTCATCTAAATTCAATTTTATCACCCTCATCTTTTAAAGACACACCTCTCTGTTCCAACAGGACATCTCCCTCGTATCTGGCCAGTCCGACAGCATGTCTCTGCTTGATGTCCAGCTCTTCCCACTGCTCCTCAGTGACAGCCCAGGCCTGCTCAGCGCTCAGCCAGGACAGCTGAAGTTCACTGAACACAACCTTTCAGACACACAGTCAACACAAGTACCAACAAATTATGCAGGACACTTTGAAATGAGGAACCTTTGAAAAGATAATACCCTATTTTCACACCTTTTGAAGTATTTAAACAATGAAGAAAAAGTTTTTGGGAAGAAATAACACTTCAACATTTAGAACACACCATCAATGTACTTCTTTTAATCAAATCCTACATTTTACATGTCCACTTCTGCAGCTTCTTTTCCTCACTCTTCCAATATGTTTGTTATTGTGTCCACTATTTACTTTATCTACTCTGGGTTTTTTTAGAGCATAGGCTGCTTGCTCTGTTGCTCATTACTCTTTGAGCCAGTCCCTATCTCTGTTTTTCAATAACTTAAGTTGTCTTTTCTTTCCATTAGCCACTGTGCTTTTGATTTTTGAAATGTCTTCCAAGTAGGTGATGCTTTTTTTGCAGTCAAGATGAAATTTTAAACACCTTAAGCCAATTTTATCAAACCCTCAATATAATTTGCACTCAATCAAGTCAGTCTTGTTTTCTTCCCCTAAAACAAAAACATGTTAATGTAAGCTTGAACTAACCAGTTTGAACTAATATATCATGACATCCACCAGTTAATCATCCTCAACTTTAAGCTGCACAGAGTTAAGACTCATTAGCAGGCCAGCTGTCAACATCCATTTCCCAACATGAAAGTTGAAATACTCCAAACATTATGTCCTGCCTTCATATTCTGTTTCTCTAGATTATTTTGTTTCATGTATTTTAAAGAGTAGCTTAAGTAAGAGAAACATAAATATCTTTCTCATACTCAAGTACTCCTGATACTTAATTCCTTTTTTCATTGCAAACATTTTGACTTGTCATAGTATTCTAACCTTAATTATCTTAAACAGTGCCTTTCCTATATTGACATGTCACTATATCATTATTTATGAAAGCCTATTGATTCATTTTTATTGTGTGACAATATATATCCTAGAAGGTGAATATCATATCTCAAATTCAGCCATTTTTGCTTTGCTGCCATATTAGGAATTTTGTGCATCTTTACTGCAGCAAAACTTCCCTCTGTAGTTTACCCTGAATAAATTAAGTTGAAATCTTGGGTGAAACTCACTGCCATTTTTTTCTTAGACATCAGAGCAATAGCTTTAGGGGTTATTCCTTCCACTTGTTCTTGTACCAGAGCTGACAGCACCATGTCCTCCAGGCCCACTGGACAGAGACATAAACACTGCAGTCAGATAATTAATGTTTCTCAAATCACATCACAGGAAAAGTTTTCCTAAACTTCCACATCCCCGGGGTTGTATTGTTTTATATAATATAATGTGTAATTGTAAACTATCCATCCAAAAGCTATCATTGCCTCTTCCCTTTGTGCAAAAACAATTAGGGAAAAAGTTTATTAGAAAATGTATACCCCAGAGACAATATGTTCTGCTGCACCTGCCAGTGTCCCAATTTCAGTGAAAACTTCTGGTCCCCAAGCACTGACTGGACCAAAGGCCTCAGGTCTGGACAAACGGCTTGTCAACACCTCCATCTGCTGTTCTGTGCAGGGCAGGGACATCTCCCGCAGGAACAGGACCGCCATACTGCAGTTTGAGGAAAAGCATTCAGGACTTTTCCTCCTCTGAGGGTATGCAAAATGATTTCATGTGGTTTGTGGAGTTAAGAGATGTGCCATTCTCCTGTCAGGTAACATCTGTTAGAAAGCTGAGCATACAATTACGTCCAGATGTACATACTAGCTTGTATATAAATAGCAGTATAAGAAGTTATAGGTGCATCTCTATCAGTGTTTATCTTTTCTTTTGCTATTGATGATAGAATTGGATCAGTTTCTAATTGCTTAGCGTCAGCATTCTGTCAGGTAGGTTGTGTGTGTGTGTGTGTGTGTGTGTGTAGGTACTAGGTATTTGACTGACCTGAGGCTGTAGGCGCTCACTTTTTTGATCTCTGAGGGATACAGACCGCAGATCAGATGGCCAAATGTTGCCAGATCAACAGCTGTAAACTGTTCGACTTTCAGTTTGCGTTTTCGCATCACACCTAAAATCACTGCTCTTATCTTACCAAACAAATAGAAACACACAACCAACACTAATTAACATGTGAAGTATTAATATGATATTCTTTTTAAATCTGAACAAAACAGTCCAAAAAAGTTTACCTTTTTAGGGCTCCAGTCTGTCATCGTTCCTAGATGTGCCAACACACCAGGATCAGTGAGATTTGTGTCTTGCAGCTCTCTTTCTCCCAGCTCAGTCACCACTGAGCCCAGAGCAAGCACCTGATCCGCTCTCAGCTCCCTTACTGGACTGAAGAACTGGATGGAACGAAGAACCAAGAATGTGTTTCAATCACAGGTAACAGAAAATATAGCTATCCTTAAAACTATTTTCCATCTTCAATTTTACATTTTACAGCTTTAGAAAACAGGAGATCTTAAACAAAATGAAATTTTAAAATTAAAAAATTGATTAACAGATTGTTTATAAAATAAAAAATAAAAACCAAAGAGTTCTATATCTGAGCCTTTACTTTTAAATGAATCTAAAAGACGTGTTTACCAACCTGTCTGAGTTTCATCCACAATGCACGTCGCTGCTCAGAGCTCAACAAAGCGTCTTGAGCAAAGATTTCCACACACTCTTTAAGATCCTCCTGTGACATGCTGCTGAGCTGAGCGGACGTCCATGCCGAAGGAAACGTCCCCCTGATGTCTGCACAGCTTGGAACTGGCACTGCTTAAAGAGAAGCCAGTGAACTCCAAAAAAAAACCGAGCACAAATAAACAATTTCTACTGACACACATCTACTGTGTAGGTCACACGTGGAGTGGTGCACTAACAGTCACAGGTATGTTACGATAGAATGTCTTGGTCACAGTTTAAGAACAGTACTAAACCTTTGGCTCTCCTGCTCTGTGCTTTGACAATCCCTCGGATGAGACTCTGAGTCTGTCTTCTGTGACGATGCTTATCCATACACCGAGTAACACAGACTTCTCCGACCATGCTGTCCTCCCAGTGACTTTGACCCACCAGAACCTGCTCCACTGTGTCTTTATTTAACACCGTCTGTGCAGGAGAAACAATATGACATATTCATATTGAAGAAAACCAGTGATAATGCAATGATGTTAAATTATTTGAAAAGGTTGACACTTGTTGAAGCTTACCAGAGGGATGGAGTTAATCTGCTTTGTTGAAAGAGAAAACACCAGCCTGCCCAAAAGCTCAACATCCCCCACCTGCCATTTAGATGGCTCCCTATCAGACAAATACAAATATCTTACCAATACTGCCGTTTCATAAAAGCCACACCTTTCAAACACACAATTACCTATCAGGCTTTTTTATAAAATAAAGACTCTGCATTTTCACTTTTATTTTAGAAATTGTTATTCTGTATATGAGTTCAAACGCATAGAGCATTAAACTCTATGTTCTCTTGTGTATAAATGTCTAAGCATGCAATATAGCCTTAAGGCTGAAAAACTGTTACCTCTACTCATATAAGATGTCAGCTACTGAATAACTTTGGTATCTTTACCATTAAGTGGTAAAAGGACTTGAGCTTGAATAGCCCTTTTCTAGTCCTTTGACTACTCAAAGCGCCTTTTACACCGCAGGCCACGTTCACCCGTTCACAGCACATCCACACACTGATGGCAGAGGCTACCCAGTAAAATATCCATAAGTTTTAACTAATGCCTTTCATGCATATTCCACACCGCTGATGCAGCAGCCCAAGCAGTCTGAGGGTTCATTGTATTGCCCAAGGACACTTCCTCATGTGATTCCGGTTGCGAGACGATCAACTCTACCACTGAACCACAGCCGTCCATTCAATAACATTCAGTGATTAGATCAAAACAGAAATCTATACATTTAGGTTATGACTCTACACATACAGAAATTATGACAATTCAGTCTCAGCTGTGCTCTGTGCTTAGTTCATTAGCAACTGTTAGCATGCTCTGGCGCCGGTTGGTCATGCAGATGGGTTGCGTGTCCCATGTACAGAGTCTGTAGTCCTTGAAGCGGGCAGCACGGGTTCGATTTTGATCCTCGGCCCCTTTCCCGCAGGTCCACTCACCCTTACTGATTATATACTCAATCAACTGTCAAGTCCTTTAAAGTAATATAAAGTTGTTTATCAGTTTATTATTTTTCTAATGTATTCTTTATAATAATAAAGCATTGTATTTTTTATTAGATTGCTTTAAAATGCCACTCTAAATGTTGTTTATGTTTTGATTAAAAGAGTGTAGTCAATATATTACCATTAACTGTAATTAATGCTCAACATATTACTTCCCTGAGTGTCATAGCCAGCTTATGTCATGTTATTCACAACAGATATGTTTATTTACCCGAGCAGGTCTTTCTGTGTGAACAGGGCACTAATGTCTCTCAGGGCCTCTTTGGGAAGACAGAAACCTCTCATCTCCTCGAGCCGCAGAGACAGAGCTCCTCGGTCCACCAGAGCCAAACTGTCTCGGTCCAAGAAAGGCAGCAAAGGCCCTAAGATGTCCAGCATGGTGCCATCAATCTCCTCTGCAGCCTAAGAAGAGCCCAGCACACCACATACAGTCAGTGACCCTGGTTTATAAGGATTTCACACTGTTATGACTTCACTTTTGTAAAAAGCTGTTGAGAGGATGAGGAAGGTTATGTCCTGAATTTTCCATCAGTTGCCTCTCGTGTCTGCTTGCTTGAGAACCGAAGAAGTTTGTCCCTTCTGTCCTGTTAAATTGCTAATACAAATCAAACACATGACTCACCCTCACTCACTGACGCAAACCCAGATTTGTTCTCACCAGAATAGCATCTCTAAGTTGTCTCCAGAGTGCGCTTAAAGCTCTTTGTGCCGGTTTATTACCCAGAGGTTAATTTGGGATTTCTGTTTTAGGACACACTTTCCTACCTCAAACACATAGCAGTGTGTCAAATCCTGCAGATGAAATCAGATATGCATTTTATTCATGGTTAGTATAGTTCAGGTCGGGGTTTTACCAGTTCAGAGACAGCTTTCTCTGCTAAGTTCATCTGCTTGTAATGTGGCAGTCTGAGGAAATCTGCAAAGTTTGCCTGAATGTAGTTGAGGATGGCTCTGAAGGAGACATTAGATATTGTCTCTATCATTGTCACTCTGAAAAAGAACAGAGCAGGGGTGTAAATCCTTCAATAAACTATGAAATAAGAAGGTAAAGAGCAGAATATATTTTTAAATAAGGAGATACTTCACGGTAATGTTGCAGCAAATCCAGAGCTCGGGGCGCCGAGGTCGAGTCCAGGATGTTTCCTCAGTTCATTTACGATACATTTCCGCTGGTTACACAGCCAAAAACAAATCTGAACTAGTTAGAATTCAACAGTCTTTTTCGTTTGTTTAAGACATGCAGCAAACAAATGCTACACTGCTGCATATCAGTTACTGTGATGTAGGGTTTGAGGGCTGCTATGTTATTTGTCTCTCACCAGGGCAGGTCTCATAGATCCAGGCAGCTCAGTAACAAACTGGAGCAGCTCTGTGTAATCTGTATCGTTGCTCCAAAGCCGCAAAAAGTCACAACTCATTCCACTGGCAATATGACCCAGATCCCTGCATGCAAAAGAAAGGCCACACATAGTTAATGGCTAATTTTGTGAGTATTAGATTTTCAAAATGACTATTTCTGGAAGTTTTTATGTGTGATTTTTTTATTGTGTGTTCAGGAAATTATTCTGCAATGATTAAAGTCTCGTTGACAATGTCCTGGTGTATTAAAACCAACTCACCTTATCATCTTGTCAGAAATGTTTTTGAATTCATGAATCTTTTTGAACAAAAGCTGAGCCTGTCCCAAAAAAAAAAAAAAAACAGTGTCAGTGGCAGCATTGTCACCCTGGTTTACATTTCATTGTGTAACATTTAGACTGAAAACAATCTAAACAACATCGTGGTTTCTATACAAGACTAAGATGTAACTTTAGCACCTCAAATCATACAAACTGGCAAGATGGTTTTCACGCTGGCTGCCTGTAAAGCTGGCAAAAGGTACTTTAAAATGTAGGAGGTTAAACCTGAACAAACATTGGTATGGTACCTTTTTAATTGTTGTTGACCAACATTCACTGACATGAACATGTTCACAAATCAGACCCATATTTTGGCATAATAAAGCAAAAAAAGTTAGTTAATGATTATAGAATGGAGCATTTTATCGTCATTGCACAAATTAACAACATGAGCACACTGTGCAACATTTTGCATAAGTGTAACTTCAATCTCTAAAAGTATTTTTATATGATTTGAATTACACAAATTGCTTGGCTTACACGCTCTCAGAGGATTAAACTCTAGGTTTACTATAATATAATATATAATGTCTAATGTTCTGTGCTATATTTTATAGAAGTGCAGCTTCGAATGGAAAAGGGTCATCTTTATTGATTTTGTAAAGGTCTAGTTAGGCCAGGAACAAGGTATGAAATACACTCTTGGCTGTGACAAAATCCTTTAAAAGTAGCCATTATTAATTTATGCTACACTCCTCCACTCCATTGTACAACATCCAAACTAATTAGCCTGATGGTGGCTGATGCGTATGGAGTATTAATATCCTGAAAGGCTCATCTGAAGCATGTCCAATGACTTACAGATGAATGGGACCTGAGCTGGTAGCATTTTCTTCTCTAGTCTAGAACTGCAGACCTTTTGTTGCTATATCAATGCAATGTTAAACATCAGACACAAAGGTAGACTGAGGTAAAATATGCACCTGTTGTGGTGACCAGAGTATGTCACTGTAGAGGCTGATATCTCTCAGGACAGTTTCTCCATTTACGGTTTCTCTTAGCTTCCTCAGGGGGACAAATGGTGACAGACAGTTTACCTGCTGAGTGACGTTCTGCAAGTCTCTCTGTAGAGCCTGTTGTCACAAAACACAAAAACAACAATATACGTTTAAACCTGGAAGCCTTTAGATGCTTTTAAGATGTGCATCAAATGACCATGTTCTGGAAACATAAGTGCAAGATTAGATTTGTGTTTCCCTTGCCAACGTTTTTTGTTTCTAATATAATAAGTTAGTCTTAAGATTTCTTAAAAATCTTTGAGAAGACAAATTATGATGAGGTTGAATTATCAAAAAGTCTATCCTCCTCCATAGTAAGTATATTTGACAAATGGCATCTAGGTAAGTCACAGCAAATTGAGGTATAATGAAAAGAGAAGTAATGCAATTAGAACTGAGGGCAGCTGATCGCATTGTCACCTCCTGCATTGCATTGTATAGCATGGCTCTTTGGCCAGGCTTAAGCTCAGTTAGCAGCAATTCCAAACACTGGCAGTAGGCAGTTTCACTGATCTCAGCCCACTGGAGGTCTCCGAGCACAGCAGGGGAGAGACCACAGAGTAAGGGCTTCAGCCTGCACAGTCTCTCCATGGTGAGCTGGCAGGGAGAGAGAGAAACACAGCGATGAAAGTGCAGTGGGCAGAATTCCAACAAATTCAATTAAAAAATGTCTACTTACAGGGATGTCCTTTGTAATCTTGGATAATATTTGAAAAGCCTGGAGGAAGAATTAGAATGGGTTTTTCACACAAAAAAAAAAACACAAGTGTTGTATTTCATTTGGGGGTCACAGGTCACATATTGAAATAATGTTTTTCCTTGTCTTCCTTTAGAAAAGTAAAGTAAAGGCTAGCTTTCCTTTCATGTAAAGAGGGTTGATGCATTGTACTTCCATCATATTAGAGAAAAGACAGGTGATTTATTGAAGCAACTTTTTATGTATTTACAACTACTCTTTGTTACACTAGCCCAAGATATGGAACAAATTCTCTTCTCACCTGTGCTGGGGAGAATCTGTGTAGCCCTGGTTGTGAGAGGATTTCCAGGAGTTGTTGTGAGGGGATTGAAAGCAGGGGGGAAACCCCTAACTGAGGTAACAGACCACTGAGGGCTGACAGCTCTACAGGAGCCGAGCTGCTGATGTTAACGTTCTGGACGGCTTGTATCAACCACGAGGACAGCTGACCGTGAAGCACAGATAAACAGAGTGGGTCAGATTGAAATAAAAATGTTAGTGGGAATGAAGGTTTTCTTGTAGGATTTGTGCTTCTCACCCTGCCGCTGGGACTGACGAACCCCTTGGACATGCACTGAGCCAGCTGCTGCCAGAGAGCCGAGGACACAGAGGAGTCTTGAAGAAATAAACCCAGGACCTCTGGATCCAAGTAACAGACAAGGGCTCCTAATCTGCAAAAAGACTATGCCTGTTACTTTTATTTTTTATAGGAATTTTGGGGACATTCTTGTCTCTGCTGGTTCGCTGACATTTATGCCAATCAGCAATATCTTGGATGTAAAGTATTTAGGGATTCTAAAGGTTTATATCAACTGATACAACACCTTTGTCAAGTCAAACGGATAAACGTTATAGTATTTGTTTGCTTATAGCATAAAGGCCATATCAAATCAATAGTGCAGAGAGCAGAACTCAAACTCATTTATCATCATTTAGCATTGGAGGTCACCTCAGTATATAATCACTGGTCAGATTCTTCCTCCTGCTGAAAAGGGTCCGGAGCACATGACGGCCTCTTACACCATCCAGACTGCTGTTGCCAAGTAACTCTAGTAGAGGAGTGAGCTAAAGGACAAAAAAGAAAAAAAAAAGTTGACAACTATACACACATTACATTTGCTCTATCCTATAAAAATAAAGAATATTTGGGCAAATGACACAAGCATTTCAAGATTTAAGACGTTTGTTGTCACCCTGAATGTTGGTACAAATATGTAAAAAATCTTTTGCAGGATTGCCTCGTTAAAAAGGGTAAATATTAAATATGAAAAATAATGCCGGAGTTTGCTGCAATAAAAATAACATTAGCAATATATACATATATATATATATATTATAAATCTATTATATAAACTGAAAATATATGTACATCACAAAATATGAAGGAATATACAGAAATAAACAGATATATACAGAGGCCAGAATTACACACTGGTCTGAGACGTTGTGTCTCAGCTCTAATTGCATTATCACTTCTCAAGTTTCAGGTCAAACTTTAAACAATGACCCACACAGGGAAGGAAGTCTTGACCGGAAGTCCTTCATCGCTAACCACCACAAGAAGCCCCAGAATTGTCCCCATACTTTAAGAGGCTATATTATCATCAGATAATAGCCAATTGGTTCTGAGATTGCAAATTAAAGCACTGATTTAATGTGATGGTTGGCAAGTAGATAGTGGTGAAGAGCACTTTCCCTCTCAGGGTTTAACTGAAAAAAGAGCAAGAGACCAAGGTCAAATGATTTACATATTTCTCTAAACTCATAAAACCATTTTATGGTCCGGTTCTCCACTCTAAGTATTCCCCTGAACATGTCTGTTGTACATTCTGTATGTAAAAAGAAAACTATACCAACCATTTGGCCCTGTTTGAGGTAACAAATGTCTAAATAAGAGACGCTAGAGAAGTTTGAAGACTTTGAAAGTCTCTAACCTGTTGTGAAGTCAGTTGCTGAAAATGACTGACTGGAAGGTAAGGCAGAAGTGGGAGGATGGAAGTGAGGAAGTATGGTGGCCATGTAGGGACATCCCCCACCATGCTGGACTGAAGGAGTCTTTTTACAAATGCCTTTTTCTGCAGGGACTTCATCCCCGAGCTGTGGTCACGAATGGCTGTCAGCCTAAAGAGAAACAAATGGGCTTTTAGCGTCAGTACTTTCGGATATATATCAATCTAAATACAAGTATCCCCTCAGTCTGTTACTCACACAGTGTCATTGACTATCAGGGAGGCTGGGAAGCTCATTATGTCAGACACAGACATGAAGGGAATGAACTGAGACAGGTCCACAAACAGCTCCGGGGTCACTCGTGGGAACTTCTGAATGAAAGCAGCAGTCATTGTTTCCATGGCCTGCAGCTCTTTTTGAGAGGCCTGACAGAAACAACAAAGAAATATAAACTGAGGTGCATTCAATTTTAACTATGCATACCGCACCATTCATTTCAGCAAAATAGATACACCAGATGAGAGTAAGATAGACAAGAACTATATATCATTTAAGAGCAAGCTTGATAATAAACGTCTCTAAAAACAAACCTGGTCGGTTTCAACTTGTAACTGATCCCAACTTTGATGCATATGGGAGATAAATCTCTTGACAGCATCTTTTTCAGCTGACATCACAAGGGTGCGAATGCTGTGTCTTGGCATCTGGAGGTATTCCTGGTGAGATAAAGAGGTTCACCTTAATACAAAGTTCTGTATGAAAGCCCAATTGTTATTGTTGTAGCTGCACAGGCCAATACCTGCAGCAGAACCCTGAGAGCAGATGAATTTTCGTCCCTCTGTATGAGGTCCCACAAGACGGGCTGATGAAACAAAAGAAGAAAAGTAATTCACTCTTCAATTCAGTTCGTGTGTGTGCATGTGTGTGTCAGAAGGCTATCTTACACTAAAGCAGCTCAGCAGGTCCTCTTTTAGAGTGGTGTTCTGCTCTCTGCGGAGGAACCGTCCAACAGTGTGTAGGATGCTCATGGACGCCTCTGGCTGCAGCGCCGCCCAGGATGTGTTGTCAAGGAGACTGGAGAGGAGGATGGCCTGACCCAAACCTTGTCTTGCCTCTCGTTCACCCTCGTCCAGTCCCGAAGAGAGGCCCACCATGAAGTCCAGGACTCGGAACACATATCCCAGGGCCAACAAGAACCCTTCGCGCTCCCCTCCCTGGACCTCACACACACTCAGCTTGTGCAGAACATCGACCAGCATTGGTGCCGGGTCCACACACAGCTGAGATGTGTCAAACTCATACCGTGCTGGGAGCATGTCAAAAAACCTCTGCAGAAAGCACTTCCTTTCCTCCAGTTCTGCATGCAGCTCAGCACAGAGATCAGCAAGCTGAGGCATTGATCTTAACAGCTTATCAAAGAGCGTGATGTTTAGACAAATGTACTCTCTCCACCCGTGTGTGTGACCACAGAGCTGCAGAAGGGTGGAGTTGGTGAAATGATGCAGATCCCATTCATTGTACTCACAATCAACCTCAACAGTGTCAACAATGGAGAAATTGGGTATTTTGGAGCAGTATGCTGCTGCCCAGCTGCCCTCTGATAAGGCATGCTGTGATTGGGACCGTCTCCCGCACAGAGCTGAGATCAAGACAGAGTTGTTGGGTAGGAAGCAGTGTCTGAAAGCCTGCGCAGTAAGCATCCTGCTGCCCAACTGAGCCACACAGTTTTCATCAAGTCCTGGGCCTCCTGTGGCCTCTCCTGACAGCTGCACACACAAATCGTCTATGCTTGTTTGGTTGAAAAAATAGTAGTCCTTTGTCAGTGCAGCCTGCAGATATTAAAGTTAGACACATTTTAAAAAGAGGCAGAAGGACTTGTGTAAGTAAAAAAAATAAAACAATGAAAAATGTCATTAGAATAGCAAATATCATTCTCAGACGCCTGGTCAGATATAAGTGATAATCTGAAACCTTAATTTTATTTCTCAATTCCAAACCAGTGACTTGAGTATTAGATTCACCATGAACCACTCCAACACTAGCGTGTTTAAAGAATTTAGAAACAATTTTAGTAGGAAAACACTCTTAGCTAACACTTTGCTCTGTTAGACTATTACTTGACTTTTGTTGTTTGTTATCGTCATGACAATTTACCGAAAACCAGTTGACTTTTTGGGGCTCATAGTTTATGGTATCAAATCGGTGCATTAACCTCCCAGAGTTATTTAATGTTGGATTACCTGATGGGCTCTCTGCAGCCAAAAAGAAGAGTTGGCACACACCGTGTTGTTGAATTCCTGGGAGAAAAACTCACTGCAGACATGAACCCAAAGAAAGTCCTCCTCAGCAGCCGACAGGTACCAAGCTGCATCAGAGCATGTGGCATGCAAGTCCAGCCCCATCTGAGCTACTGCAGAACTGACTGAGCCGTTCTCCCCTTCAAACAGTTTACAGTAGAGGAACACAGTGAAGTTGGACACTCCAGTCAAGCCTGGGATGGATTCATTACAAGCTGCCTCCAGGATTTCAATAGAGGTGGCGTACTCGATTTCTTTGTGCAGACTGATGCTCTCTCTTGTTCTCCGATTTTCTTGTTCATAAAGGCGTTTTTCTAGGGAGATTTTTCTGGAAGAAGGGGCTGTTTTTGTAGGCGAGTGTGCTTTGTTTTGTCCTGATCCTGGTTCATCTGCTTCACTGGAGGGGCAGGATAGGAATGGGAGAGAGCTTGGGAGACCCTGGGACCCAACATCCAAAGCCTCAGTGTTCCATGTCACATTGTGTCTTATTCCCCTTTGTTTGCAGAAAAAGAACAACAAATGCAATGAGAATCTATACAACAAAATCTTTAAATTATGTCGGCTGGATAAAATATCTTACCATAAGATCAGTTGCCTCAGGTCACCTTTTAAAAAGACAAATAAAAAGCAAACATTAACAACAAATCAAAGTGAATGATTGTGGAAAAAGCCAATGGAAGCTTCTGCAGTGCACAACTATGCCTGATGTAACAGTTCAGCTCGACTAACAATGCCCAGGTTATAATGTTACTGACATCATTGAAGGGAAATAGGGATTAGCCGAGGTAACAGCAGATGCTTTCACCAGCCAGGGTGATTATAAGAGATTGTAAAGCAGTGTCAATCACTGTCACTGTCTCTCTTGTTACTTTCAGGTGAAACCAGGGCCAAACTGAGGCTTATAGAAAGTGTGTTACTTCCTAAGTGTATTGTGTAAATATTATATAATCAATCCATAATCCAAATCCTGCTCCACTTACTCACCAACTGAGCACTGACCCTGAGCGTTGGACTGTGGCACGTCCACCAGGCTGCTGACATCATCAAGCAGTGCCATGGTAGCTTGGGAAACTTTTCTCCTTAGGTTACCGTAAACAGAACTCCCCACCCTGTGCAGGACGCCCCTCCTCAGCCCATCCAAACTCTGCACAAGAGCTAGATTTTTCTGTGCCAATTGCCTCCCTCGTTCTCCTCCACCTGAACGTGATAACGCTTGCAGCAGAAAACTTTGCACAGAGTCTGGATCATCCTCTGTGGCCATGTTGTCTTCAAAAGATGCATTTCCATAAAAAGCATCTTTCCTCAGGACTTCAGGAGGCAGGCTGAAGGGTTTAAATCGTCCAAATGTACTGGAGCTCTTACTGTGTTCAGCATTTTCTCCTGCTGGGTGTAAACTGACCACAGGCTTCCAGTTGCGTGTTTCTAGAAAATGCAGCAGCTGCTGAAGCCAGCTCACACTGAAGGCACAGTCACTGCGGCCTTTTAGAGCACAGATGAAGCCCTGCAGGCCAGCGCTGGCCTGGCCGTAGGTCCCGCTGACCAGAGCCTGAAGAGCAGCTTCCAACACAGCACTCACTGTCCTCCAGTTCTGAGATAAGTAAGTCAAGAGGGGCCTGTAGGGCTGACGCTCTGAGAGAGTGATTAGACTCTGCAGCAGCCCCAGCAGCCAGTCCCAGTGAGGGCTGCCTCGCAGAGATAAAAACCAGTCCTGAACTCTAACACTTGGTCGGGGTGGCACCCGGCCGTTCCACTGGTTCATTGCAGCGCTCCCTTCAGACTGAAGAAAGAAATGCAGCACCTTCTCCCACAGCTGCTCCTCATCTGTATCTGCAGGTGCCTCCTCCAGCTCAGCACCCATCTCTTGGAGGTACAGGGAGATATTATAGAGGAAGCCAGAGAGACGGTGCCTGTCTATTGGCTTGTTTAATGAGGGCAGCTTCTTGCTGGGAAACAGTGTTTTTAGGCTCCCCATGATATTTCTCACCCAAGGCTGCACAAACTGGTCCTTATTTGTTTCTGGGGGAGTTTTCTGAGGACTCCAACCACTTCCTGTGCTCCATTTTGAAATAATCTCTTTCAGAATGGCATCTCTCTGCTCCTCTTTACCACCTCCTGAAAAAGTCCCATTAGAAATAGATTAATCTAGCATGACTTAACAAACCCGGGTAGAAATAAATACATAAAAACTCCAATTAGCATTTTGCTTTGGTGTTGCACTCACCTGTCTTTTCAGACGAACCTTGTCCAAGTAAAACTGCACAAACTATGATGCTTGTGATTCTTAGTGTAGCCATCTCTGGCCATTTCTCTGCCATCTTCATCTCATGCTATGATGCACAGTGATATAGAGAGAGCACATCTTTCTCTTCAGGAGTGTTTTTTTGTCGATTGAAACAGATGCTACTTTTTTCATTTTCAGCAATGAGATGGACTCAAGGAGTAAAGTATCTCAGCAGAGAGGACATATTAAAGCTTAATGACCGGCTACCACATCAGCTTACCACTTTCACTGAATGACTACTTAAACAAGACGCAGTAATTTACTTAATTTACAAACCCTTTTTACGACTAGAAACAATTGATGGAAGGTCAATATGGGATGCAAAAAGAGTGACCAAAGAAAAACCTTGGATTTCAGGTTAAGTATTTAAATATATTATTCTTAATATATAATTCTTAGAGTTTGTCAAAAATAAAGTATACATCTGTTCCTGTTTCAAATGTATATGTGCATTTTTATCATCAGTGGTCCCTCAAAATAATCACAATTTAAGACAGAAAATTCCAAACTCACCAGTAGTTAGAATCCATTCATTTATTTTAGTATCCTTTCAAGCTGTCAGCAGTGTAAACATGCTCGGAGCTGTCCTCTTACTGTGCCCCACTCTCTGTTTCACCATCACTCAGACTTTCTCTACATTCACTCTCTCCTGCTGCACCCCTCCCACCTGTGTCCTCCCTCTCTCTCGCCAATTAAGCTTTTGGCTGTTTGGGGCACTTTTTGTCTCTGGGCTTTAGGGTTGGTGCTTGGCTTCATATTTCATGTTATAGTTGCCTTTAAGTGGAACAATTTGTCGTCGGGGCGCTTTTATTTGACATTGATTGGGTGTTAATATTCCCTTAAATCAAGACGTAGGCCCTAAGCCCTTTAAAGCTCCTATGCGTAACTTTTGATTTGTGTTGATTTCGGCCACCCCTGTGAACAAAGTTTGACCTCATATCTCTTGGCTGATTTTGTAGTGAAAGAATACCTTTCATTTTTTTTCATGAATATTCAGTCTTTGTGCTGAATGTCTCATTTGCTTTTCCAGCTCTTAGAGGAAATCAGTATTCATTTTCAGTCTGTTACAAAACCAACTAAAACTCCCCCACTGGAGATTAAAGTTACTATTGGAATATAGACGTACATGCGTATATTGCGTTCCCAGCTCGGTATTTTTTGAGAATCATGAGGTTAAAGGAAGGACGCAGCCAGCCGCTCCTCGAGTTTACATGGTGAAGAGAGCCGGCCCTAAATTTGAAGTGCCCACGTATTCTGATCTTTATGGTAAATGATCCGGACTGCAGAGCGAGCAGGAGTAACAGACAGAGAGAGCCTGATTTTGCCCCGTTATTAATCTCCTTTTTCCAAAAAAAAAGTGATAAATGCCAAAGTCTTACCATAAAACTGGCTGTGAGATACACGTGTGTGAAACGGGAGCAAACAAAATACTGTTCACGGAATATCTTAAAGATCAGAATACTTGAGCACTTCAAATTTGGGGGCTGGCTTGACCGCAGTCAGCTAGGTGCTCTACAAGGTGAAAATCTGGATCATGTTCATCACACCCAGCATATCTGTCCCATTCTCTGACTGTCAGATGTCTCCCACTGACTGGTTCCCCATTGAGCTGTCTGTCAGCTGGGACTCAGCTCGCAGCTCTGGGTTTGTTGGGGGTGTAGACTTTCCGACAGGGCCGTGCCAGCAGGACTGCGCGGGCTGTCACTATTTAGACACACACAGTATATCCTTCGGTCAGGCAGACTTACAATTGAGCCCTGTGCGAGGCGCAGTAGCAGGCTCCCCAGAGTCAGACCACTGTCTGCAGGCCCTGAAACCCTAGAGGGCCGAGTGAAAGGACCACCTCCTCCCTCCACTTGCTTTAGCTGTACAATACTGTGGCCAGCACAAGGACAATAACTTCCCCCTGTATTATTGATACCCCGGGGAACAGGGATCACTCAGCACAACAGGGCTCGATTCACCACGGGAATAATAAATGAGTAACCTAAGCCCCTTCATTCGTCCCTCCTCTCCCTGCAGGGAACTCGTGCTGGAAGAAATCAGCTGATCAAACTACATGTTGAGATTGGAATATTTGGTTTAAATCCAACTTTCGGTCACGTCCTCGTCTGTCTTTGGAAATATTTAAGCAGAATAAACTCAAACAAAACCTAAATTATGTTTTTATTTTGATGTAATTTATACAAAAGTTAATTTGCTCTAAATGTAGCAGTTATGAGTCAATCATCTCTAGTTTGTTTGTCAAGAGCAGCACAAAGAGGTTTTTAAAAAATAGGGTTTGATGGATAATCAATGCTGATCGTTTGTAGCCCAAGTCAAAGCATTAGCAGAAAAAATATGATGTAAAATATGCATCATCTATATGCTTCAATGCTCTTATTTAAATGACACGTCAACAATGACAATGGATATTCTCATCGTTCTGGTTTTTAATCACATCCAAATTCAGCAAACCCAAAACTGAATTATGTATTAGTCACGTTCTTTACTTGTTCAGGTACTTCATGCTCAGTACTCTGGTTGTTGTTGTTGTTTTTTTTCAATTGCATGCAGTGATAAGAGCTACAACTACAGGAAGATAAGAGATTATTCAGTAATTTACTCATTAAGTGTGTCATTTCCCACAAGACGCCTAATGATTGAATTCTCATACTTGTCCTCTAGCACCACCATCAGGTCATAATTTCTATTTGTATATGTTTTTTGGGGTACTCCACATTACCTGCAGAAATAATAACATCCACAAAAGTCTCAGCTGCACTGTCCTGCTTATCAGCAAATCCCAATTAGCATGCAGTGCAGAGGATGAAAGTCAAACTCATAGAGTGACCATCATGGCTGTAGACTCCACATTTTCTTAACATTTAAGTTTCACTTGTGATATTAAGTTTTGTAAATAAATGTTATTAAATATATGGATATAATATTGGACTAAGGCTTTGTTATTATTTTTGACAGCCAATATTTTAACTACTGTGCTGCAGTTTGTGGTGTTTTCTCAGAATACATTTTATTTTAAGTTGAAGTTGATTCTGAGTAAATTGGACAAAATCTGAAAAGCATTTGTTTATTAAATCATACAAATATTTTAAAACAGGGTGATATGTACATTTCCAGGGTACAAATATGGACTTTAGAAGCCTTACAGTTCATGTTTACGCGTTGAGCATAGGGACGTCAAAGAGATCACAGAGGCCTTCATTCTCATCCAGATGAAATCGGTAGTCAAGTTCAGATGGGGGCGGAGTCAGGCGGAGGGGAGGAGCGAACACTGAGGAGCAGGGACAGAAACAAGATCAATTAAAGTACCTGATAGAGTCAAGAGTAACCAAGGTTCTTAGAGAAACTGTATGACAGTACATTTTGAATTGATTAAGGAACTGTAGTTAGTTAAGTAAAGTAGAAGTTTCCAGAAGTACAAAAACTAAATATACATACAGATAATCTAATGAAGAACTACTACTTCTTAACATGACACCACTCGTGTACTACATTAAACAGCATCTAATGAAAATGAATATTAATTAAAATAAAGAGTACTTACCTTCAGAGCTCATTAGCTGTGCAAATAAATTTTCTCTCATTTTTTCTAAAGGAAGAGACATACTTCATCAGACTTTTGTTAACAATCAAATAACCAGAGTTTAAAGGCTTAATATGCGATTTTTTGATCCAGCAGATGTCGCCCTTGAGCACCAGCATGAAAACAAAACAACTCGCAGTGCATTGTCGTGTTAGCATGCTAATGCTAGTGATCTTTATTATGCTCGTATCTTCACACTGCACGTAAATTTACCTGAAATGACTGTGATCTAGAAACGCAGTTAAACAGTGAGTACAGTATGTTATTCTTCTTTTCTCTAGTCCCTCAATTAAACAACTTTCATTTGCAAGGGGAGGAGTCAGCCGGCCGTCCGGGCGATATAAACAAACTGAAGATAGGACTCGGAAAACATCACAGACAGTGGGACTCAGGTGTTACACCCATTGTAGACAGTCATGACTCAGAGTTATTTTCAGAGGATAAACTTGATTTCTATTACATTTAAGTGTGAAGAATCGCATATAAAGCCTTTAAAAGGGGACATATTATGAAAAATTCACTTTTACAGTGTTTTTGAACATATATTTGTGAAATAAATCCATCCAGTCCTTTGTTTGTGATCTACGCAAGTCTTACAACACAGAGAAAAGTGCTCTGTTTCAAATTTGCTCAACTTGTGACATCACAAGTGGGATTCTGGTAAAAAAAAAAAAAAATCCCCTCCCCTCCCTTGATATCGCCACCCATGGATTTCACCCCCAGCCTAGAACAAAACTTTTGCGCAGGTCTGACATTTTTATTCTCGCTACAGAGGAGTGGTGTGTACCAGGAAAACTCAGGGGGGCTCATTGCATTTAAAGAGACACACACACCAAAACGGAGCGTTCTGAGAGAGCTGGCTTATACAGGGTCACAAACCTCCTCTGGTGCCTGATTCATGTTATATTTTGACCAAAGCACAGCACAGATGTTTCATTTAGACCACAGGGGACTGTTTGAAAAGGTGGAGAAGGGGGATAATATGTCCTCTCTAAAGGTTATGAATCATTTTAAAACACAAAATAAAACAGGGACACTACCTTTGTTTGGGTGGAGTAGGTTTCCCATTTCTCCTGATAAATTACGCACTGGAAAAAGAAACGTCATACTAAGTCTCAAATAGATATTGTAGTCTGTAAACTAAGAGAATGTTTACAGTCTAAAGTTGGTAAATGAAACTGATGTTTTTGACCTTCTTTTCAATTGCACATCACCAAATAACACACTTCATAAAAAGTGTAAACCATAAGACTCACATTCAGATGATTCAGTTCTTTGTGGCTCACTATTCCTGAGTGATGATGACAGAAGATGGCGAAAGTCCTCCAAGGACGGCCAGGAGGGTTTTGTGATTTGTTGGACATTATCAGAAGCCTGAAAAGGTGAAATGATGCTTTGTGTCTCATCTGAAGTGGCCATTACTGATTTGGCTTTCTGTAAAATATCCT